CTCTAGAGCAGGGGCGGACAAATGAATGTAGGGTTCAGGAGCCAGCAGGATTTTTTTTAGGAGCCCCATTGACAAGAATAGGTAAAAACCGGCACTCGTAAGGGGATCCGTCCATCCATAGGACTACGACTAAGGCCCGGGGGGGATGAAACATGTCAGCATTTGTTTATTTGCTGCTTTTGCAAATTAAGTATTGGATGGACGTATCCCCTTTCGAGTTACGTTTTTTCCCTATAGTGCAGTGAAGGCTCTGGCGGAAGCTTTACCAGGCACTGAGGTTCCAGCAGCGGGATTGGAGACAAGAGGGTAGAGCTGCTCCATGTTTCTTCAATACTCGACGCCAATCGCAGACATACAACAGCGCTCACCAGACATGCGACCGATCCCTTGTATTGCGTAGGAATCGCACGTCGGTGGTCTGGCGAAAAATATGTAACGGTGGCATAGAGCGCTGAAACGATGTGCGGACATATTTGATTATTGTGCGGTGGACAAATAGATAACAGATAAGATAATTCCAGGTCCGCCGATCGACTTCTCTGGCGACGAGAAGAATCGATTTATAAACAGCTCGATTTTGTGAAGATGAATGAACAGAAACGATTTGTTTCTTGACACCGTTTTCCACGCTTTATGTTTTCCCAAAATGACATCACAGTACGGCACGACGCTCTGCGCTTTTATGAGCGGAAAGGTGAGATATCACCATAGGGATCTGTGATGTGCGACATTTTGAATCAGAGTATAACCCCTTCATTGAGAGCCGCCACTCACCGAAACCAGTCAGTTACTCAATACAAAATCAGAAGATCGCACTTTGCGTGCAGAGAGGAGACTTTGTATCCCGAATTCTTCCCTCCTCCTGGTCTGTCAGGAGACGCTCGCTGAGCACCAAGGTGGAAGGGTACGGGTTGGTGTTTGTCACCATTGGCAAGAGTCTCCGGGGCAGAGGGTTCATACAGAGAGAAAACTGCCCAGCATCCCTATACTAGAAGATCACACATCAGATGTCTTTTTACTTAATCTGTCTGTATGCATTTTTAATGTGGTAGTTGTCAACAAGATATGCTAGAGATATATATAGAGAAGATAAAAGAGATTGTGGGTGCTATGGGGAACACAGACAGTTTCACCTTCAGACACTCTAAGTTATCATGGCAGAAGAGATTTACAGAACTGTTGTGCAATATCTATCTATCTATCTATCTATCTACTGTATCTACCATTTCCAGGGTGTTGCGGCAGAGATGTGTGTTGACATGCTGAGGAGGCGGATGTCTTGAAGTGAGACAATCGTGTGACACTCTATTTCTGTGAATCATTACTACATGTTAACTGGAAGTGTCTAAAGGTGAAGATAGATAACAGATAGATAGACAGATTGTGGGTATGATATGGAACACTATTTCACCTTCACATACTTCCAAGCATTACGGATGTTGTTAGTGATTCGCAGTAATAAAGTATCACACAATCACATCCTATTTCTAGCACTAGGGTTGCCACCTGTCCAGGATTCACCCGGATGCTGTGTCCGGGTTTCATGGCAGCAGAAACCCGGACACAAGATGTTAGGCAGACAGGGGCAACCAAAACTAAGATAGGGGCTACTAGAGTGTTCGGGTTTCGCTTGGAGAAAAGGTGGCAACCCTATCTAGCACCTCTTCTCCATGTACCTCCCCCACCCCAATCAGGGAGAATTCTCTTCACTTCCTGTCCCAGGGTCCACCCACCCCCCCCCCCCTCCCTCCTTCTTTGCCGTGTATTACACCGGGGATGGCCGAGCTCCAGGACAGAAAAGCCGATTTCACTAAGCCCCCTGCTCTGTGCTCACATCACACTGACATCCTCCCCATTCATGTGTATGGAGGTATTGCTGGGCTTTGTTGTCCTTTGTTGGCCATTCTAGGATTCCACCTCCTCAGCTGGGGGGCAATGATCATCTTTTTCATTTTTCCATGTGGGGATCTGATTAGTTTAATGTGAATAATGTCATCATCAAAATGCAGTGTCTGTGTATAGTTTGTAGTGAACGATGTACATGAGAGCAGCCAGAGAGGGTTCATGTTTATCCCGATCCAGAATTAATGATTAATTAAACAGAATATTACTTATTGTAACATTGAACACAATATGACAAATGTCACATTATCACCGTCAGGGACGGATTATTATCTCTGGATCCTGTAGACACACAACCTTCAGAGCTCTTCTTAACACCTCTGTGCAGTAAATCTGAACTCCGGGCACAAAAAAACTAAATTTTCACTATTTAACTTAACTTAAATTTAAATTTATCCCTCAATAGCCACAAAGGAAATAAATCCATTGTGTGTGCACCAAATCCCTTTAGATGTGGGAGGGACCCATCAGGCCCAACCAACCACAGGAAACTACAGGAGGGGGCGGAGACAAGACCAGTCACCCTGCATAAGGAGAGACAGCAGCAGTGAGTGGTCTTTATTACAAGAGGGAGGGGGGGAAACCAGACCAGTCACTCTGCACAAGGAGAGAGAGCAGCAGTGAGCAGTTTTATTACAGGAGGGGGAGGAGACCAGACCAGTCACCCTGCACAAGGAGAGAGAGCAGCAGTGACCGGTCTTTATTACAGGAGGGGGCGGAGACAAGACCAGTCACCCTGCACAAGGAGAGAGAGCAGCAATAAGCGGTCTTTAGCACAGGAGGGGGCGGAGACCAGACCAGTCACCCTGGACAAAGAGAGAGAGCAGCAGTGAGCGGTCTTTACTACAGGAAGCTCCAAGTGTCACAGAGGATTACTGCACAGAGGAAATACACAAAGCTCACCAAGATTCCAGGGAGAATATACGTGGATCTTGTATTTAGATGATATTTACTTATCCTGGAGTTCAACTTTCACTATGTAACTATGAATTGCCCAGTTGCTGACAGGTCTGAGTTAATCTCAGGGTGGCAGCAGAAAACAGCTCATTTCCTTTACAGAATTCTACAAATTATAAATGTGTCATTGTTTTATGTTTTAATTTTAGACACAAATTAAGCTTGAGGTCGTCCTCCTCCAAAGATAAAATGATTAAAGTGTTTCAAGCATCCCACCACCCATAGGTGTAGGCAGGAATGTTTTTGGCAATTGTGTCAGTGATCACTAGGGTTGCCACCTTTTCTTCAAAGGAAACCCCGAACACTCTAGGGGAGAATGAGTCGCGGCTTATCCATAAGTAAATATCACAGTTGAGACTATTTTCAGTGGGGGGGCCAGTAGCCCCTATATCTTTATTTTGGTTGCCCCTGTCTGCCTGACATCTTCTGTCCGGGTTTCTGCTGCCATGAAACCTGGACACAACATTCAAAACCCGGACTGTCCGAGTGAATCCTGAACAGGTGGCAACCCTAGTGATCACGGTCTATCAGTTGGTTGGGTCTGTCTATCTAGGTCAGGGGTCAGCAACCTTAAACACTCAAAGAGCCATTTGGACCCGTTTCCCATAGAAAAGAAAACACCGGGAGCCACAAAACCCTTTTGACATCTAAAATGAAGATAACACGTCATATATCGTTTTTTACCTTTATGCCATGTATAGCATGTATATAGGTATATGTGGGCTTAGTAACGCACTGACTCAGGGCTTACCTGAGACCCCGCAGAGCCCACCTGAGAGTGACCCAGCAGAGCACACCATAGATCCTGCACAACCCATCTGAGACTCTCTATGGTGGGCTCTGCAGGGCCTCATGTGGACTGGTCACCCGCCCCCTTGCTGAGAAGCCCGTCAGCAGTACGTGGCCCCGCGACCCTGCACTGCCGCATATTCCACTAGGGGGTGGCCCAGTACCGGACCTCACTGGGCCGCCTCAGGGCCCGAGGCATCCGGCGGTAGTTTCGCCCCTGGACAGGGAGCCTCGGCAGAGGGATGAAAGACAAGCAAACAAACGACAAACGCACTCAACAATTTGTTACCAGTTATACAGTAAGGTGCACACGAAATGGGCTTTGAACAGTAAAACAGTAGAAAGGTATCATGGCACACTCACAAACTAGCATGTAAAACAACTTGTCTCACCACTAAGGTTAATGACAGAGGTTTGGATACACGTCTTCTGCAAAGGATGTGAGAGCCGCACTGCCGCGCCAAGGCACCTCTTATAGTGCGGTCCTAACTCTAAACTATGAGAGTCTCCATCTTGGAGCACATGGGGGCAGAAGATATCAAATTGGGTGCAGGTTTGTCAGGAGGACGCCCAGCCTCCTTAAAGGCACAGAGACACACAAGGGATCCCGCACATCCCAATGGCAACTGAGAAGACGTGTATCCAAACCTCTGTCATTATCCTTAGAGGGATGAAAGAGCCACATGCGGCTCCGGAGCCGCAGGTTGCTGACCCCTGATCTAGGTGAATGTATACATTGTAATCACTTGTCTGTATGACATTCTTTATGCGATGTGTTTTATTACAGGAGCGTGTGGAGTCATGGTGGGATACCCTCTGGACACAGTAAAGGTAGATTATTTCCTGTTCTCTCTGTAACTAGAGGCTCATGGTCACTGAGAGTTGGAACAGGAAGTGAAGTGAAATCTTCCAATAGAAAACCCTGTTCTAGTGACAACAAGAGGGGATTTTGCTTTGCTTTGGAGAGATCTCCTCTCACGTCCTGTTTTGTTTCTGGGACAAGAAGTAAAGGGAAATCTCCCAAGCAGGAAACATAAGCAAAAATTAAAAACAAACAAAAAAACCAGAGTTAAGTAAAACAAAGTAAAGGCACACGAGGGCCTCAGGGTACGTACAGCCCTATTCACATACTGTATATACACCCAGAACATCCGTAGATCAGGTCCTAGGTAAAGGCACACAAGGGCCTCAGGGTACGTACAGCCCTATTCATATACTGTATATACACCCAGAACATCTGTAGATCAGGTCCTAGGTAAAGGCACACAAGGGCCTCAGGGTACGTACAGCCCTGTATACTTCACATTCTTCTCCATCTTACGGTTTGGGTTTTCCATTCCAGGTCCGAATCCAAACACAGAGGAACTACACCGGAATCTGGCACTGTATCCATTCCACATATAAAATGGAGAAAGTAAGGACTGGGAAACTTTTTTTTAATTTCGGTGCATTTAAGGGACCTCTATTGTGAAAGTATTGTACTGTGACATGTATATGTTTAATACATTCGATGATAGTGTTCTGTATAGGAATTCCTTTTTTTTATCTCATACGCCATTGTTATATTTTCCCCATTTATATGCAGACTGACAAAAGTACATTGACAGAGGTTGGGATACATGATAACTAGGCAAGGTGTGGTGGTTGAGCAGTTGCAGCAGCAGGATAAAAAGCAGATATAAAAGGTAACTACTGTAGATGTGAGGTTCAGATTTGCTGCTATCACAGGTCCATGGTGAATCCCGAAGCCCACAATGTACCCATGAGATCCAGAGCGCTCCCTACAGCCAAGATCTAAATGATAGAGGGCACTTTGGTGAAGTGACGGATAGAGCCGTCAGTATGACAGTCCAAAATGCAAAATGTCACCAGCACACGAGTTGGTGGGACATTTATTTGCTGCCAAACATGGCGATGTTTCAGAGCCACAGAGGACCCCCTTCCTGAGGCAAATAATGAAGTTCACAGATTGCAAACCTTTTGCCGAATAGTGAGCGATTTCACCGCCAGAATTAAGAAATTACCCCGCAAGTTGCAGTTTAAGGCCTTTGTCAGCTTACTCACAACAGCCAATACTTTTGAAGGAATGGAAAACCCCGCCCCTTTCTATAAAAGTGTGTGCTCACAGCAGCCATCAATTTTTTTGGGGCATTGGTACATGCCCCCCATGACAGTGCCCGGCTTTTCAGGCCTTTTGTTGGCCAATATCTTGGTTATTAGCCCTACAAATGGCCAGAATTGATTAGCAGGATATACCCAACATAGACTTCAATGAGGATCCCCTTAAAGATTGCTAACTTTGAACGTCAAGCAAGATTGCCAACACTGCCAATGTAATGCAATACCACATTTTGGCCACTAGATGGAGCTGAGGGGCATAGGAAAAAACATATCTAGTTCCAACGCTCCTCATCTCCATCTAGTGGCCACTTTGTGGCATCACATTATAATACATTTGACCTGAAAATATATCTAAGAACATACGTTTCTTTGCTTCTATTTAGATTCGAGTGAATGGCTCTGTGAATTGGTTATAAATGGACCCCTTTAAACTTGGTCTGCATGTACATGTGGATGGTGTCTATATGGAATGAATCATCTCAATACATCCATTGACTGCATACAGTTATCAGAATACATTATTTTTGTTACATTGACTCTTCCGCAAACAAAGAAATAATAAACTCGTCGCTGTCTCATTTCTCTCTGGAGGTGTCAGGGTTTTTCAAAGGAATGTCAATGCCGATTTCCACCGTCTCCATCAGCTCTTCCATCGTTTTCGGGGTGTACAGGAATTTCCTTCACAACTTGTGCAAGCTGAAGTACGGAACAGCAAACATCAAGCCCTCGAAGTTCGATATCTTCATCTCGGGCTATGCCGCCGGGGGAGTGCAGGTACCGTGACCAGGCATTTTGCAGCTCGTGGAAATGAATCGGAACCACAAAGTCCTCAACTTATCTAAAGCCAAAACCTGTTTTCATTTTGGGTGAAGTAGGGAATGGATTGAACTCCTGTCAGGTTTTCTTTGCCATCTATGTCCCATTGGGGAGATTTACCTTTACTTCCTGTCCTGTAAACACAACAGTTAGTGAGAGGAGATCTCTCAAAGGTGAGGGGAAATTCCCTGTTAGTTGTCCCAGGAACAAGTATCCTTATTGGAAGATTTCCCCTTTATTTCTGTTTCGGTGACAACTAGGAATGCACCGATAATAGATACTAGTATCGGTATCGGTGCTGATGCTGAGTATTTGGGTGAGTTCTCGTACTCGCCCATTACACACTGCCCGGCTTCCTGATTGGCCAGGAAGCCGGCTCCATGGCCAATCAAGAAGCCAGGCAGCGTGTAATGACTCGCTGCTCGGCTTCCTGATTGGTTGGGAAGCTGGCCAGTCAGGAAGCCGGGCGCTCTGTAATGATTGGCCAGAAAGCCGGCTCATTCTTTCTCGTCACTTAGGGACGAGAAGCATGGGGACGGCTTCCCTGCTAATCAGGAAGCCAGGTGGCGAGTCATTACATGCCACCTGGCTTCCTTAATTGGACTTCCGGTATCGGTATTCGGTATCAGCGAGTATCGGAAAAACAATATCGGTACTCGTACTCGATACCGAAATACAGTTATCGGTGCATCCCGAGTGACAACTCAAAATGTTGGATTTTCCATCACTTTCAGTCCCAGTTAATGGTCAGCAGGACAAACTGAGAGAATTCCTCAGCGGGGGTCTGACAGAGGTTTTCTAAGCTTTTCACACTATAAAAAAATATTGCCATTAGGTTTACAATCTTTTTTTTTGTCATCCTGGGATAAGAAGGACAGTAAGTGTGTTACTGGCAGGTGAAAATAAATGAAAAAATCCAGAAAAAAGAAATGCAACCACCACGTCTAGGGACTGGAAAGCTGCAATGTATTATTTTTTAAATATATATTATTTTCTATATATGACTTGTTTTTACTTTGGATGAGTTTAAAATATAGAATTTTGGATCTAAACCACTTAAAACAAAAGAAAAGCAAATTCACATTTTTTTATTTCCTCTCCCCAGGTGTTAGTTTCATCTCCAGCAGACATGGCAAAAGTCCGGCTCCAGACGCAAGTGTCGCCCCACCATTCCAGCACATGTGCCCTCCTCGCCCGCCCCAAATACACGGGTCCCGTACACTGCCTGCTCACCATCGCCAAGGAGGAAGGATTTTTTGGGTTGTATAAGGGAGTCTTTGCTCTGATGTTTCGAGACTGCCACTCGTTCGCAACCTACTTCCTGTCCTATGCCGTGTTCCGGGAGTGGTTTGTTCCGGTTGATCAAGGTAATACAGGTAAGGTACCCCATACCAGGAACCATACATATCTGGGCTGAAAACCCTTTACATTGGTTGTTGGGCAAGAAGTGTCCCCTTACATTGGTGGATGGTGGGTGAAGTGCCCTCTTATATTGGCAGTCAGTGGAGAGGTCCCCCTTTGCATTGGTGGTCGGTGAAGTAGTATCCCCTTACATTAGTTGTAATTGTGAGAAATGCCTCCTTTCAATGGTGGTCAGAGGAGAAAGGCCCCCTTACATTTGTGTTCAGTGGAAAAGAAACCCCTTACATTGGTAATCAGTAGAGAAGGGCCCCTTACATTGTTGGTCACTGGAGAAGTGCCCCCTTACATTGTTGGTCACTGGAGAAGTGCCCCCTTACATTGCTGGTCACTGGAGAAGTGCCCCTTTGTATTGGTAATCAGTAAAGAAGTTTCCCCTTATGTTACTGATCAGTAGAGAAGTTCCCCCCTTACACTGTTGGTCAGTGGTGATGTTCCCCCTTGCATTGGTGATCAGTGGAGAAGGGCACCTTTATACTGCTGGTCAGTGGTGAAGTTCTCCTATACATTGGTGGGCAGTGGAAGTGCCTCTTATATTGGTGGGCAGTGGAAGTGCCCCCTTATATTAATGCAATGGAAGTGCCCCCTTATATTGGTGGGCAGTGGAAGTCCCCCCTTGTATTGGTGGGCAGTGGAAGTGCCTCTTATATTGGTGGGCAGTGGAAGTGCCCCCTTATATTAATGCAATGGAAGTGCCCCCTTATATTGGTGGGCAGTGGAAGTCCCCCCTTGTATTGGTGGGCAGTGGAAGTGCCTCTTATATTGGTGGGCAGTGGAAGTCCCCCTTGTATTGGTGGGCAGTGGAAGTGCCCCCTTATATTAATGCAATGGAAGTGCCCCCTTATATTGGTGGGCAGTGGAAGTGCCCGCATTGTATTGGTGGGCAGTGGAAGTCCCCCCTTGTATTGGTGGGCAGTGGGAGTGCCCCCTCATATAGGTGGGCAGTGGAAGTGACCCTTGTATTGGTGGGCAGTGGGAGCTCAGCTACATACATAATTGGTTGCAGAAGTATCCTGCTTGTGGGAGGAGAGGCTCTCCTACGCCCTAACCTCTCTGCTGAGTGATGTTGGTGCGAGAACTAAATGGGCGCAGAGGGAAATCAATCTGCTCAGGATTGCCTGTACACCAAGCAATATATCACTAGACTCTTAAGGTGCCCATACACCTTACGACCATTGCAAGACTTTCGTCTTGCGATGGTCGTAAGCTTATTAAAAGCTCGTACGATCCGCCCATCTTGGACGGGCAGATCGTACTTGTGATCATCGAAAGCCTGCCCCGCTTAATCGCAAAGTGTATGGAAGTCGTGCGACCGTCTTTACTGTACGGTCGCACGTCTTTTGTCTAAGGAGCATGCTAGAAAACCAGCCGAAAATCGTACAATTTTCGTCTGGTTTGTGGCATGCTCGGGAGACAAATGCCGAACGGGCCGCACACTGCCCGTTCAGCATTGCGGTCATCGGAAGCCCGCCCCTCAGGGGGGTGGGCTTCCGATGATCGCAAGTACGATCTGCCTGTCCAAGATGGGCAGATCGTACATTTTTTTAATTACTTTACAACCATCGCAAGACTAAGGTCTTGCGATGGTTGTAAAGTGTATGGCCACCTTAACAGACAATATACCCCATTATTGTCTGTACTCTGAATACACCATCCCCTCCATCTTTTGGATTCCCGCACTTTGCCTATTGTCTCCCTGACTATGTGCAATGCTTTTTCTTATCATGTACGGTTGGCATGAGTTTACATTCCAGAGATGAAGTATCAGCAACACACAGGACACTGGCAGTGTAACTCTATCCTCATGGTAATGATGAATAGTAATGAATGGAAAAGTACAGACTGCGCTCCACTGTCAGACATTCCTGGCAGCAGCTTCCAAAATTAACTCAGAGTCCAAATGTAATCTCGTACATTTTTATAGGGTCCGACTTGTCACCCAAAGGTGATTTCTACATGTTTCTTCTTGGTGTGTATCTTGTAAAAGTTACACAAAGCAACACAGTGTGTAGTTTTTCTACCTTCTGTATCCTTCCTTATCCCCTAATAGATTGTAAGCTCTTCCACCTTCTATATCCTCCCTTATACCCCAATAGATTGTAAGCTCCTCCCCTTCTGTATCCTCCCTTATATCCTAATAGATTGTAAGCTCTTCTACATCCTCCCTTATACCCCAATAGATTGTAAGCTCCTCCCCTTCGGTATCCTCCCTTATATCCTAATAGATTGTAAGCTCTTCTACCTTCTATATCCTCCCTTATACCCCAATAGATTGTAAGCTCTTCCACCTTCTGTATCCCCCTTATATCCTAATAGATTGTAAGCTCTTCCACCTTCTATATCCTCCCTTATACCCCAATAGATTGCTCTTCCACCTTCTGTATCCTACCTTATATCCTAATAGATTGTAAGCTCTTCCACCTTCTGTATCCTCTCTTATATCCTAATAGATTGTAAGCTCTTCCACCTTCTGTATCCTCTCTTATATCCTAATAGATTGTAAGCTCTTCCACCTTCTATATCCTCCCTTATACCCCAATAGATTGTAAGCTCTTCCACCTTCTGTATCCTCCCTTATCCCCTAATAGATTGTAAGCTCTTCCACCTTCTGTATCCTCCTTTATCCCCTAATAGATTGTAAGCTCTTCCACCTTCTGTATCCCCCTTATACCCTAATAAATTGTAAGCTCTTCCACCTTCTGTATCCCCCTTATACCCCAATAGATTGTAAGCTCTTCCACCTTCGGTATCCCCCGTATACCCTAATAGATTGTAAGCTCTTCCACCTTCTCTATCCTCCCTTATACCCCAATAAATTGTAAGCTCTTCCACCTTCTGTATCCTCCCTTATACCCCAATAGATTGTAAGCTCTTTTTCCACTTTATTCTATAGAATTCATGGGCGTCCTGCTGGCCGGCGGTCTTGCCGGGGTGGTAGCGTGGGGTATCGCCACTCCGATGGATGTGATTAAGGCTCGGCTGCAGGTGGACGGAATGACACAGCAGAGGTACCGGGGGGTCATCCACTGCGTCACTGAGAGCGTCAGGACGGAAGGGTTCAGCGTTCTCTTCAAAGGACTCTCACTGAACTGTCTCAGAGCCTTTCCTGTGAACATGGTGGTCTTCCTCGCCTACGAAGCCGTCTTGAAACAAATAAAAGCTTTCCCGACATGACGGGAGGCCGAGGAAGACCTGTCGATGGTTCCCGCTGAAGCCGTAGAGTCTCTTCATCGGTCGGATCCATGTGAAGATATCAGCTGCCTCTCTGTACTTTATGGAATAATTTCATTCACACAAATAGGAATACGTTTCGGGGTGTAAAATGGCGAAATGTTGTATATACGTGTTATTGACCCGGAATACTTTTATAGGTTATTAAACTTATTGTTATTTTGCAAAACCAGAGAGATCCTTAACTCCATTGCACAGGTATCCTAGTCTAACCTGCTGGACACGGCGCACTGTGCGCCATCAAGTCACCGCTGCCATATCCACCCACCCAGATGCACACTGGTTGGGGCAGCAGATTCATTGTCCTAAAAGGCTATTTATTCTACATCAATTCTTATTATCTTAGTAACTTAGTTTCCCCGCTGAGAGCAAAGAAAAATACCCCGTACCACCTCTTAGACCAGGGATGGGCAACTCCGGCCCTCCAGGTGTTGTAGAACTACAAGTCCCATGAAGCATTGCAAGACTGACAGGTACAAGCATGACTCCAAGAGGCAGAGGATGATGGGATGTTGTTACAGCCCAGCTGGAGTGTATGGAAGGCATGCGAGTGTATGGAATCGCAAAGTGTATGGAAGGCGTGCGACCGTCTCTACTGTACGGTCGCACGTCTTCCGTCGAACAAGCAGGCTGGAAAACCGGCCGAGAATCGTACGATTCTCAGCGGGTCAGTGGCGTGCTTGTTTGACAACTGCCGAACGGGCCGGTGTGCGCCCGCTGCCCGTTCAGCATTGCAGTCATCGGAAGCCCGCCCGCCCCCTTGCGATGATCGCAAATACGATCTGCCTGTCCATGATGGGCAGATCGTACATTTTTAAAATTACTTTACAACCCTGGGTTGTAAAGTGTATGGCATTGGCCACCTTTAGAGCTTACATAGGGCTGAGGATTCTCTCCCCGCCACCATGTGACAGTGCTGGGGGCCTGAGCATCCAATCACCAAGCATCAAAATTGTCACAATGTGGAATGGGGAGTGACAGAAATCCCGGATGTTTCTCTCTACTCCTGCAGGCTGTATGGAGTATGGGTGGAGCTGTTGGGGAGGGCAGCAGTTTATTGAACCTGTTGCACGGGAGAAGTACAACTTTACTGTAAAACTCCAGTTTTTTCATTACATTTTTTTTAAATGAAATGTTTTTTTTAATTATAATTAGAGGGGGGTCAGCATTAGTAAAACATGCAGTTTTTGCTGCAATACCCGCCTGCAATCTGGAGGTTCCTAAAGAGGACCTTTACCCATTTCTTTAACATAACAACAAAGACAATCTACAAACAGATACTTCTAGATAATTGTATTCTTTGCATTCCTTATTTTTCTTCCCCTCCCCATTCTTCTCATGGCGGCCATTTTTACTAAGGGCAGGTTAGTTACTAGATCTCCCTTTACTTCCTGGAACTCTGGCACATGTAACTTGGACATGTGACCATGCACATCATCTCAGGGGAGGAAAATTCCTTTCCCTGAGATCTCGTGAGATTTCCCAGCAATGCTCTGCTGATGTAACCTTCCCAGGATGCAACACATGGGCGCGATTACATCATTTGTGCCGAAGAGAACCAGGAAGTAGAGAATAAGAAATTGTGTGTAAAACAAAAATATGTTTAATGAATATCAGATGATTTCATATCAGCATGGAAGGTTGTATGCTGATGTGATTTTAGTTAACAGGGGTAAAGGGCCACTTTAAGCAGTATTACCTTTTCCCCATTAGATGTTTAGGGTTGGATGATGGCCAGGATCATTTGACTTTCTCAAAGCTCAGGCTGTCATGGACCCGCCCCCTGAGGTGGCGTCATCAGTCAGCGCTGATCAGTGCAGCAGCAAGAACCACTCACTGTTAGTGGAGAAGAGGGGCCCGTGACATCATCAGAGTTGCGGGTATGGAAAAAGGTATGTATACAGTCTCTCTCTATATATATAGAAGGGGAGGGTAATTGGTTCTGTCTTCTTCAAGCACCACCCTAAGGCTGGATTTATACCGCGTGCATTGCTTTTAGTGCATGTCAGGTGCGTCTGCGGGCAAGCAGCACGGAGGGAACCCGCTGGCTGGAAGCAGCCTTAAAAGTCCGAAGGCAAGGTAACAAGGGGCAATCCAAAAGGGGTAGAGTGCAATCCGAGGTCGAGGCAGGCAGCAAAGGGTCAGAGGCGATAGTCGGTCCAAGGTCGGTACACGGGAAGTCAGCAGAGGGTTCAGGAAACTGGCAGCAAGGCACATAGGACGGAAGCTTCGTATGTCACACCATAAGGTGGAATAACTCAGCAATAAGCCAGGGCTCAGGCCAGGTTTTTATAGCCAGGGGGTGTAAGTCCGCCCCCCTGTCACCGAGGCAACCAGGAGGCTTCCCTCCCTGAGAGCCAATGGCAGGCGAGAGGTGTGTGTGGGCTGGGGAACCTCCCCCAGTAAGGCCCACATCTGAAGCCTTAACCGGCGCAGGCGCGCTATGCGCGCGTCGCCTGTGTACTGCGCATGCGCACCGGCGGTTGTAGCGCCCGTGGTTCTGCCAGGCTGAAGGGATGCCCGCAACCCACGCCTTGCCCACTGACCCCGTAGGGAGGTGACTCCCCTGGTTTCCTGACAGTGCACGTTAAACACTTGCAGTGACATGCACTTTTTTTTAACCTGTTGCTGTCCATTTTTATTCGCAGCCGGAGGCAAAGTACTTCATTTTCAATGTGCATAGCAGAGCATTGTGACACGTTGTAAATGCAGCACATCCTATTTTTGTCCTGTGCAACTGGAACTGGGCTCATTGAGAACAGTGTATTTTATTTCTTGTTATTGCGTTGAGCAACGCTGCCCAATGCGCATGGTGTGAATGAGCCGCAAGGTTACACCCCGAGTCTAGTCTGGTACGAGGTTATGGGAATTATTTTCAGTATAATAAAGGGGATGATGTCTTCGCGACCTGCTGATGGTCCTGATGCTGAACTCTGCGACATGTGGAATAGAACGCATTTGTTTCAGATGGTTGGGTAGCCGCTCACTGACAAGATTCTGGCAGCCGGCCGATAGAAAAGTAAGAGATAGAATTCTATTTATAAATTGTAACTTGACCGGAGGGGACGTCACTGAACATTGTGTTCCCGGGTCAGGCCCGAATAGTCACCAGGCGACCGGGAACAAAGTCACACACTGTATGAAAAGATATTGTATTAAAGTCGCCTTCCGATGATAGATCATTGAACACGACCTACCTGCCGCCTGGCGGCTCACACATTTCATTTAAGCATCGCCGTTGTGTATCAGACCCGGAGCAACTCATTCCCTTTTCCTCCCGGTGATCCGGGAACCCCTTTTCATAAAGAGTCCCTGTCACCAAATTAAAAAATTGCTTGTAGAAGGCCAGAAAAAAAAGTTAAAGGAGAACTTAGGTCAATGAAAATCACTCACCTCATAGTTTCATTGTCACACGTCGGATCGAACTATCACAGGTCGGCTCAATAGATCGGGAAGTGAGCGAACACAACCGTCGCTCGCTCACTTCCCGATCATGTCCCTGCAGAGATCGGTGATTGCCACTCACGGCTCCCTGCAGGGATTCCCCCTCCAATCCTCCAGCGCTGACTGGAGCGCCTCTAGATAGGCAGAGCCAGCTGTCACTCATGCAGCTGAGTGGATCTCAACAGTAATGTCGGGATCCGTCCCGGCTGCGGCATCTCAGTATACTGTGAGCTGTAGCTCGCTATATACTGAGCTTTGGGTCACGGGAGGTGGTTAGTTTATGTCCTCCCGTGACCCTTAGAACTATGGGAAAAACACTGACCCCATAGTTCTCCTTAGGGTAACGGGAGGACAGAAACTAGCGTCCTCCCGTTACCCTAAGCTCAGTATACCGCGAGCTACAGCTCACAGTATACTTGGGGAGGGGGGAATCCAGCCCCTCCCCTGTCACGGCAGAGAGCCGTGACAGGATCGAGAGGTGAGCGAACGCCGGTATGTGCTCCCTCACCTCCCGATCTACTGAGCCGACCTGTGACAGTCTCATTGTCACAGGTCGGCTAGAACTATGAGGTGAGTGAAAAGCACTCCCCTCATAGTTCTCCTTTAAGTATTAAATAATACTCGCTTGAAGTGTTTTCCTTCCAATAAATCATTTGTATTCACTTGCATTGTAAACGTACAAGAACAATTTCCTAGCACAGCCCCCTCTCACCTTGCAGGTCATAGTGTTCCCCTCTTCTGGGAGTGTTTAATTACTGTCTTTGCTGGCCCAGCTCCCCCAGGGGGAGCCATAGGTATCAGGTGCCTGTACAAATCTATGGCAGGCTGATAAATACTGCTCCAAGCACATACAGGTACAAATGTAGGCCCTGGGTGCAGACAGTGTGCGTCCAGGCATACACATCCATACCTTTACCCAAGTATATGCTTAGAGAAGCATTTACCAGCTTTCAGCCACAGCCTGCCATTGATTTGCACAATTCAAATGTTTGACATCATTGTCGCACATGGATTGGCCACCACAGTCCAGACATTGACTCCATTGAGAATCTTTGGCATGTGCTGGAGAAGACTTTACGCAGAGGTCCGACTCTCCCATCATCACTACAAGATCCTGGTGAAAAATGAATGCAACTCTGGGGGGGAATAAATGTTGTGACATTGCAGAAGCTCCTCGAAATGATACCACGGCGAATGTGTGCCGTAATCAAAGCTAGAGATCCAACAAAGTATTAGAGAGTGCTACTTTCTTTTTTTGGCCAGGCAGTATATTTATTCAATAAGCTCCTCACTTTAGCTTCGCTGCAATCCATCCGTGCCCCAGGACCAGAGATGATCTGACAGAAGACATGAGTTAATAAAGTTTATTGCAATAATTTAGAATGTCTCTTGGTGGGGGAAATGGCGACATCAGTGGTCCCGATCGGTTACAATGGGTGTTTCTAATGACATGAGTCACCCTGATTGGCTACACGGGGCGAACTGTTGCCATTAGTTGCCCCGATCGGTTAAAATGGGTGTTCTAATGACATGATTCTCCCTGATTGGTTACACTGGGCGGTCTATTGCCATTAGTTGCCCCGATCAGATACACTGGGTGTTGGTATGCTGAAATGGAACATTTATTGATAGGTTATAGTGCCTGGCTGCCAGCAGGGAAACTCTTGTTTTAAAAAGATGTTAAAAGTCAAATGCCAACTTCCTGGGAGTCATGAACTGTCTGACCACCTCGTCCGTCACCTGTTTCCTCTTCTCTTGATGCGCTGAGATCATTGGCTGTAATGTTTCTATCAGGATCTTTTTCAGTTCTCCTGTTAGTAATGTGCCGCTGGTGTAATCCTAAAATACAATGTTAAAAGCTTACTTTTAATCTGCTTATATTTCATCCCCCCCAATCAACATGTAAATCACATTTCTAAATAAAACCTTTCCATTTTCATTACATAGCTAATTTTAAACCAATGGCATCATGACTGGGTCTTTGTGCTTCTCTATATAATACAGGCAGGCCATGACTGGTGGGAAGGGCCGGCAGAGTGCTGTACATAGCTTCCTGAAACCATCACAACACCCTACCTCAGTAGTCCTCTGTAAGCAGTGGGCTGGCTCTTCAGAGGAGTGATGCAAATATCAAAATGCCTTGTTGGGTGGGAGTAAGTCTGCAGGAGTGGGGGGACTTATCAACATGCTAATGAAATGGTTAAACATTTTTATTACATACCTTATGACTATTGATGTCATCACTGCCAAAATGCTTATGTGGGCGGGTGTCAGTCTAGAGGAGCGGGTGTTTCTAGGCTGGCTGTATTCGCATGCAGACCACCCCAGGTAACACCCACATGTGATGCTGAGCCTCTATGATTGAAAAAACTGAAATGCAATGACTGAAAGGGGCGGGGCCAGGGAGTCAGTCAGTCTGGGGAGGAAAAGGCTAGATGATGCTGAATGCCCACCAACAAGAAAATGAGGTGGGCTGTTTATGACTTGCTGCAGCTTCCAATGCACATTGTGAAAAACCTCTAGTGGCTTGTTTTTAAAAGTTCAGCAATTGGGGTATTCATCTGTCAAAAATGAAGGTTTAGGACCCCCTTTAAAAGCATGTCTGAATGAGGTCTAACTGAGCCCACAGTGATTATTATGGTGCTACCACGGGGTCCAGTCTGTACCACTACAACTGATATCTTTATGTTTGTCCTTTTCTGTGCAATCCCCGGGTTCTGCCTTCCTCTGTCTGCATAAAATGCTCATCGTCATTTGGGTTTTGTGTGTTTATTTTGTTCCCTTTATTTTTCTCCAGGTGCCAGTTTTATATTCAAGGCAACAAAAAGTAGGCTGCACCGGAGCCATCGGTAGATATAACGCCTACAGTGATGGCAGCCATTAATGATTACACAACTGAACCTGACTAATCTATCGATTTACATATTCCCAGACGCTTCTGTAAAAACACTTCTTTTCTCAGGTCTTTTCCCCCAAAACCCCCATTTCCTCTTACCTGTCTTATTTTTTCAAGTTTCTCATCGTCATCTAGGAAGAAGGTCAAGTACATAAAACAGACGTCGACCTCACAGTTGCCTCCGTATTTCCTGTGTTCTTCGATGGTATCTTTCCCTCCGGAGAACGCGTGCTTGTTTATCTGGAAGAGAAGACGATATAAATGTATGGCCAACACAGGGGAACATGATGCGTGACAGAAGCACCCCTGCGACCCTTTCACGCTGATGTAACTATCACGTCAGCAGCAGTGTCAGAATTTAAACAGACTCCTAGTTGCTATTGCTGTTGATGTAACTACTATGTCGGTGGCAATCCTGGCATGTAAACAGACTCCAAGCCGCTATAGTCACTGGCATAACTATTATGTCACCGGCGGAGCTGGCATGTTAACAGACTCCTAACTGCAACAGCAGCTGACGTGATTATTATGACCCCTTCAGCATATAAAAGACTCCCAGCCGCTATAGTCAATGACATAACTACTATGTCGGCAGCAGAGGCGGCATGTTAACAGACTCCTAACTGCAACAGCAGCTGATGTGATTATTATGTCAGCGGCAGCGCTGGCATATAAAACTCCCAGCCGTTATAGCCACTGGCATAGCTATTATATTGGCAGCAGAGCCGGCATGTTAACAGACTCCTAACTGCTATAGCCATTGACTTAATTATGTCGGCGGCAGCGCATGCATATAAACAGGCCTCCAGCCGCTATAGTCACTGACATAACTACTATGTCGGCAGCATGTTAACAGACTCCTGACTGCAACAGACGCTGACGTAATTATTATGTCAGTGGCAGCGCTGGCATGTAAAAACTCCCAGCCGTTATAGCCACTGGCATAGCTATTAAATTGGCAGCAGAGCCGGCATGTTAACAGACTCCTAAGTACTGTGGCCATTGACTTAACTATTATGTCGGCGGCAGTGCCTGCATATAAACTGACCTCCAGCCGCTATAGTCACTGGCATAACTATTATGTCGGCGGCAGAGCCTGCATATAAACTGACCTCCAGCCGCTATAGTCACTGGCATAACTATTATGTCGGCGGCAGAGCTGGCATGTTAACAGATGCCTAACTGCAACAGACGCTGACGTAATTATTATGACACCTTTAGCATATAAAGACTCCTAGCCGCTATAGTCACTGGCATAGCTATTATATTGGCAGAAGAGCCGGCATGTTAACAGACTCCTAACTGCTATGGCCGTTGACGTAACTATTATGTCATCGGCAGCGCTGGCATATAAACAGATTCCCAGCCGCTATAGCCATTGACATAACTATTATGTAGGCAGCAGAGCCGGCATGTTAACAGATGCCTAACTGCTATAGCCATTGACTCAACTATTATGTCATCGGCAGCGTTGGCATATAAACAGATTCCCAGCCGCCATAGCCATAACTAATTATGTCATCGGCACAGGAGGCATGTTAACAGACTCCTAATAGCAACAGCAGCTGACGTAATTATTATGACACCTTCAGCATATAAAAGACTCCCAGCCACTATAGTCACTGGCATAGCTATTATATTGGCAGAAGAGCCGGCATGTTAACAGACTCCTAACTACTATGGCCGTTGACGTAACTATTATGTCAGCGGCAGCGTTGGCATACAGAGTCCCAGCCGCCATAGCCATTGACATAACTATTATGTCGGCAGCAAAGCCGGCATTTAAAACAGACTCCTGACTGCAATAGCCGCCGGTTTAACTATTATGTCAGCTGCAGTGGTGGCATATAGACAGATTCCCAGCCGCTACAGCAGTCGGGAGTCTGTTCACATTTTTACTCCCGGCTGCCGGCTCTACAGCAGAAGATATTACTTATACAGTGTTTGTAACATGAAGCCTCCCTTGCCATGTGTCCCAGCCTCACATGCCCCTCTTCGGTGCCCAGGGCCTCCATGGCGGGTGACAGGATAGGAAGCACCGGGATGTCAGTGAGCATTCATTTGCTGATCTCCCCTGGACAGTTTAAAACCTGGAAGTGCTCAGCTCTGAGCACTTCCGGATTCATAGTTGTCAATCGGCAGCCACTCTGGCTGGGATGGAAGCCGATTGTACCAAAGTTTTTTGGGTATTTCATGGGCACGCACACGTCTTAAGGCTTGACATATTTGGTATCTATTTACTCAAAGCCACCTCATATTTTGTGCCTTTCCATAAAATTGGGGAATATATTGTGTTTGCATGCTCTAAAATTAAAAGGAGAACTATGGGGTCAGTGTTTTTCCCCATAGTTCTCCTTAGGGTAACGGGAGGACACAAACTAGCGTCTTCCCGTTACCCTAGGCTCAGTATACCGCGAGCTACAGCTCGCGGTATACTGGGACGCCGCAGCCGGATCCCGACATCGATGTCGAGATCCGCCCAGCTGCGTGACAGCTGGCTCTGCCTATCTAGAGGCAGAGCCAGCTGTACCCGCCCCCTCCCCCGTCCGTTCCGCCAGTGAGCGCTGGCAGATCGGAGTGGGAAATTCAGCCCCTCCCCCTGTCACGGCAGAGAGCTGTGACAGGATCGAGAGGTGAGCGAACCCGGTATGTGTTCACTCACCTCCCGATCTACTGAGCCGACCTGTGACAGTCTCATTGTCACAGGTCGGCTAGAACTATGAGGTGAGTGGAAATCACTCATCTCATAGTTCTCCTTTAATATGAGTGTGTTTTTTAAGTTATAAGAAGGTGTCAGGTACCGGGCTGCAGATAAGGAGTGAATGGGTTTTATATAGCCATGTGAACAATTCCTCTTTGCCAACCAATATCCTGCCTTTCAATCACATCGGACTTCTTCTCTACATGTAAGAACTGTACCTTGGCCTTGATCTGTTTGGGCGTATCTGTCAGGAAGATGGATGAGTTGGGATCGCTGGCGCTCATTTTGGTCTGCGCTCCCTGCAGGGCCGGGAAGAAGGTTGAATGCAGCAAGGCCGGTTTCTGGTAGCTGATCCTGGGGGCGACGTCTCTGGTCATTCGGAAATACGGATCCTGAAAACGGAGAAGATGATGATGGGAACAATCTGGTGTGCCAACCACTTCATCAGTTGTAATGAGTGTCAGGAACACACCCCGGCATTTATATCCACGCAGGTAGCACAGACACCCTAATCCAATCACCATGGAACGTGTCCGGGCAGATGCTGATTGTCCAACAGGAAGGGAGGGTGTAAAAGTTGTGGAACCACTGAGTTCTAGTTACATAATACCATCCCTGCTGTCAGGAAGTCTGCATAGGTGTCAACCCTTCAATCTACAAGGCTGGAAGGTGTATAGATGTTAAACCAGCATTGTATATGGAAGAAAGATGGTGTCAAAGGTCCTCACGCCTGTTCAGGGATAGCTGTACCAGTAGGATGTAGATAGCCTCTTGCAAACATCTTGGTGGTGACACATTCCTGAGTGATTGGAGCAGCCACTCAAGGGATTCTCTATAGCAAGGGTAGCCAAGCTTTGGCCCACCAGCTGTGGTGAAACCACAAATCCCATCATGCATCTGCATCTGAAAGCCAAACCTATGGCTACCAGAATCTTGCAATGCCTCGTGGGACTTGTAGCTCTAGAACAGCTGGAGGGCTGTTTGGATACCCCATAGGATTCTCCTTCCGTTCCTCCCCTGGCAGCTACATAAACGTTTATGTAGGGAACTAAGGGGAGGTGTGAGGAGCTGGGCCAGCATAGAGAGTAATGAGAGGCTCCTAGAAGAGAAGAGAGAAAGGAATAAAGGAGCTGTGCTACAGAACTGACTCTTCCTGGAGTAGTCAAATTTTCTAGCATGATTAAAGGCCCACTGCAAGTGAATAAGAAGTTTATGGAAAAACATTGCAACTAAGTATTTAAAATACTTAAAGTGACATTAAACCCTCAGATTTTTTAACATAAAACAATACTGTAATGTGTGCCTTACTGTAATCCATGGTTGTTTCCCTTCTCTTTGCTGCTCTTCCTTTTAAATCCTCATGTCTTCTCATGCTGGGGGAGAACTTCCCATTGCAGCTGAGTGCCTCTTCCTGTAGTGCTGGCTCAGGTTGTGAACCTACACACAGACACCATGTATCCATTCCAGAGACAAGGCAGTCTGCTGCAAAACAGAGGTTCTCCCCAGCATGAGAAGAGAGACGGATTTAAAAGGAAGAGCAGCAAAGAGAAGGGAAACTACCATGGATTACAGTAAGGCACACATTACACTATTGTTTTATGTCAAAAAATCTGAGGGTTTAATGTCACTTTAATAAATTGCAGGTAAAATGACAGAAAAATTAAATTGATGGCAGGGTCCCTTTATCTAATGTCTATTACCCCCAAAAAATTCTATATATTGCAGCTTATCAGCTCTTAGATGTGGTGGTTGTATTAGTTTCTTTTTCCCCTTTATTTTCACCTGGTGATCCTGCAAATAACACATTTCCTTCCCCGGGTGACAACGCTCACTCCTCCACAGTATCTATGTATGGAGGGAACCACGGTTGTCACCCAGGCTAGATTTCAAGCACATCTTACTCTCATGATCATCATTACACATGGGATGGGAGAGCTTACTGGTTTACAAAAGGAACATAACAATGTGCTTCCAGTTTCGCTCACAGGAAGTGACAAAGACACGTCATTTCTGGCAGGATCGACAGGCAATTTCTGTACTTGCTGAAAGATAAAAAACAAACGCATCCACCACATCTAAAAGGACTGGTTATCTGCAATATGTTACATTTTTGTTTCTGGGTTTAGTTATCTTTTAACAGCGACCTCCGTATACTGGTACGACCTATTGCGGTAAGTTGTTGTACCTGGTCGATGGCGCAGGGAATTAGGCACTGGATGTCTTTTCTACCGTTAAATATCTCTGGAAAGGAGCTGCTGAATGACGGGGCGGCCTGGATGGCGGGGAAACTGATTTTACCTGTAAACACAACACACAATGCATGTCAGGTATGGAGTACAATAGTACCTGTGCAGTGCTGTACACACACCAATGTAACAGGGTGGCGGATTTTCACTGTGTTGAAATGATCAAAATCAAAAGTCGCCATCTTACCAATGCAATCGCTGTCTGTAAACCCGAATATTCCTTTCACTTGGTTGAAAGTGACGTGTTTCTGGACCTGGACTACGTTTCTGTAGAAACCTGAACTCGTCCTTCAAAAAAATAAAGAAGTAGTTTACAATGTATCTACACCCAACAACCAAAATGTCATATATTCTGGGGGCTGTATACGTTTTCATTTTCTTCACCTGGTGATCCTGTCAGTAACACACTTCCTGCCACTGGGTGACAACTCTCACTCTCTGAACTGTATGTATGGAGGAGCAGCATTGTCACACTAGGACCAAAAGTATGTCAGTGATAGAGAACACCTTCCTCTTACCTCAACTCATAAAACATAAAATAGGAAGGATAAAATGGGAAAACTTATTTCAAAACCTAAACACAGACCAGATGTGGGATTGTTTTAAAAACACACTACATACTGCTACTTCAAAGTGTATACCTTTAGGGAGCAAAAATAAAAGATCAAAAACTAAACCAATATGGTTTAATAAAACTGTAAAACAACACGTCAAGGACAAGAGAGCGGCATTTATAAAATATCAGACGGAAGGGACGGCATTGGCGTTCCTTAACTACAAAGAATGTAACAAAAAATGCAAACTAGAAATCCGGGCAGCTAAAACTGAGTGCGAAAAGCATATCGCCGCAGATAGTAAAAAGAACCCCAAAAAATTCTACCAATATATTAACAGTAAAAAGGTGAGAAAGGAGCAGATAGGCCCAATAAAGGATGGAAGCGGGAAGCTAGTCACAAACGACAAGGAGAGGGCCGAGGCGCTGAACGCTTTTTTCTCCTCAGTATACACTCGGGAGGGAAACGGGTTTGACACACATGATAAAACTCCCAGTTTAACTCAAAATATACCCCAGTGGTTGACAGAAACCGGGATACAACAAAGACTTAAAATGCTCAATGCAAACAAAGCAGTGGGTCCGGATAACCTGCACCCCAAGGTACTTAAGGAATTAAGCCAGGTTATAACTAGACCATTAATCCTCATTTTTAAGGACTCCTTAATGACTGGTAGGATCCCCAGTGATTGGCGGAGGGCTACGGTAGTCCCAATATTCAAAAAGGGGGCAAGGTGCCAACCTGGGAACTATAGGCCGGTCAGTCTAACATCGGTAGTTTGTAAAATGCTAGAGGGCATAATAAAGGATTATCTGGTAGAATTTGTTCAGGAAAACGGGATAGTTAATGACAATCAGCACGGGTTCAGGAAAGACCGTTCCTGCCTAACTAACTTGCTAACTTTTTATGAGGGGGTAAGTAGAGATATGGACGGAGGTAAGCCGGTGGATGTGGTATATCTGGATTTCTCAAAGGCTTTTGATACGGTACCACACAAACGCTTGCTACACAAGCTGAGGGCTATGGGCATAGATGAGGTGGTGTGTACGTGGATAGAGAACTGGCTACGGGAACGTGTCCAGAGGGTATCTGTAAATGGCACCTTTTCAGACTGGGCTAGTGTAATGAGCGGTGTGCCTCAGGGTTCTGTGCTGGGTCCCATATTGTTCAACTTATTTATTAATGACATCGGGGAGGGTGTTAACAGCGATATTTCCGTGTTTGCGGATGACACCAAAATAGGGAGGGTAATAGACACGGACTTAGACACTATAACATTACAGGAGGACCTGGATAAAATAGGGGAGTGGGCATTAATGTGGCAGATGAGGTTTAATGTCGATAAATGCAAAGTAATGCACTTTGGAATTAAAAATAAACAAATGGGTTATACAATTATGGGTATGCCGCTGGGGAAGTCAGAAATGGAGAAGGATTTGGGGGTCATTGTAGACCACAAACTGAAAGGTAGTTTGCAGTGCCAGGCTGCTGTAAACAAAGCTAGCAGGGTCTTGTCCTGTATTAAAAAGGGGATGTATTGCAGGGACAAGTCTATAATTTTGCCACTTTATAGATCATTGGTTCGACCTCATCTGGAGTACGCGGTCCAGTTCTGGTCACCAGTACTAAGAAAAGATGTCCTTGAGTTGGAAAAAGTCCAGCGAAGGGCAACCAAACTAATTAGGGGTATGGAGGACCAGAGCTACGAGACGAGGCTACTAAATTTAAACATGTTCACATTGGAGGTGAGGAGATTAAGGGGG